AAAAAAGCTAACAAGAGATAGGGATGGACACTGTATAATGATTAAGGGAGAATTCATTAGGAAGACTTAACTTCATTAGCATATCCTCATAAAATTAAAGTGCAGCAAAATATGTAAGGTAATTAATGTCAGCTTTGGCAATACTTTGTGAAAAACACATTCATGACGTGGCTTCAACATTCCCTTTTCACCAATGTACAGGTCAAGTGAACAGACAATTAAGGCTGTAGTAGCCTTAAGAAACCAGACTACACATGCTTTATAGATATTTATAGGGGGCTGTACCTCCCAAAAGGTGAACATACTTTTCTTCTCAAGTGCATATGGGACATTCTCCAGAATTGAACACATATTGTATCACAAGACAAGTATTAATCAGTTCATTAAGGCTGAAATCAGGGCCCTCCTGGTGGTACAGTGGGCTAAAGCACAGCACTATGAAGTGATCTGCAGCATGAGTTCCACTCCCAGCCATCCAGGGAATTGCCCTACATGGTGTAGCAGAAATCTCATGACCTGCCTGCCGCTCCCCTCAGCAGTGTATTTCAGTCATTCTGCCTGTTCTACTCCTCACACTGTCTTTGGTGAATCCTCTCACCCCTCCCCCACACACCTCTGGCCTGTACCCCATTTCTTATATGCATAAATGAATCTTTAAAAAACATAGATTAAATAATACCATGCATTTTCTTTAATCATAAAGGTATCAAACTAGAAATCAACCACAAAAAGAAAGCAGAAAAAGCTTTCAGTACATGAAAACTAAATAACACACTACTGAATGACTATAGGATTAATGAAAAAAATCAATAAAAATTCAAAAATGCCTTTAGACAAATAAAAATACAGATACACTTTCCAGAACTTATGAGGTACAGCAAATAGTACTGAGGGAAGTATAAATAGTACAGCCCCACATCCAGAAGTAGGGAGTGCTCAAGTAAATAAATAACCTTAATTCTCATCTCAAGGAACTAGAAAATGACTAACATCAAAAGCCAGGAGAAGAAAGGAAATATTAAAAACTAGAGCAGAAGTAAGTGAAGTAGAAATAAAAAAGATGGGCCAAAATCTCAATGAAACATAAGCTTGTTCTTGGGAAAAAAAAAAAAAGTACAGACTGCGAACCAGGCAAACAGAAAAAGAAGAAGAAAACTCAAACAAGATTAGAAATGAAAGAGAAGTTATAATATATGCACAAATTCAGAAGATACTATGAGCATTTGTATGTTTTATAAATTCAATAACTAGAGGAGATACACAAATTCTTAGATCATACAACCATCTGAGATTGAGTAGGAAGGAAATTGAAAGCCTTAATAGATTAATCACAAGCAAGGAAATAGAAACAGAAATCAAAGCTGTCCCTCCAAAACAATGGCCCAGGACCAGATGACTTCACAAGTAAATTCTGTGGCCAATGACAAGCCAGTCCTATTCATTTCTTTCAAAAAAATTGAGAAAGAGAGCGTACTTCTAAACACAGTTTATGAGGGCAGTGTTAAGTCTAATGTTAAAATTAGACATAGGTCATACAAAAATTGAAAAATTCAGGCCATTTTTCCTAATGATCAGAGATGGAAAAAAAAAATCCTCAACAAAATCTTAGCAAACTAAATCCAGAAAAGCCACATGAAGGTTCAGCAACCAAAAATCAATCAATGACCCTTGGGAAAAAAAAAAATGGAACCCATGACAAACCAACAACTAATATTATTTTCAGTGGTAAAAAGCTGAAAACTTTTCCATTAAGGTTAGGTAAAGGACAAGGATGTCCTCTTTGACCACTGCTATTCAACAAAGTATTGTTAAGTCCTAACTAGAAAAAAGAAGTAGTAAGTCTATGATTATTACATGACATGAAAATATACAGAGAATCCTAAAACTATAGTGAAAAACTAATTGAAACAGCAAAGTAGCAAGTTAACAAAAATCAGTACACAAAAATTATTTCTCTTTGTACATGTAAGTAATGATCTGCCAGAAAATATTAAGAAAATGTTCCATTTGTAGTTGCACCAAAAATAAAATTAAATGTATTTAATAAACCTAACAAAGGAGGCAAAGGACTTACATATAGAAAATTGTGACACAGAGTTGAAGAAATAGAGAATGTCTTTTGCTTATGGGCTGGAAGAATAACATTGGCACAATTGGCACTTTACCCAAAACAATATACATTTTAGTGCAATTGCTGTCAGTTCCAGTGGTGTTTTTCAAAGAAATTGTATGAATTTTACCACAGAAAACTTAAATGCCCAAATTAATCCTGACCAAAAAAAAAAAAAAAAAAAAAGGAAACAGTGGCATCACATCCCAGCCTTTGAACCATAATACAAAGCTATAATAATCCAAAAAAGCATGGCACCAGAACAAAAACGGATATACAGACCAATGGAATAGAATTGAGAGTTAAGAAATAAATCCACACCATATAGTCAGTTAATCTAGGACAACAAAAACAAGACAGTTAATAATATTGCCCAAGAATGAAAGTAGAATATTATCTCAAACCATCCACAAAAATCAAATCTAACTGGATGAAAGACAGTTAATTCTAAGACCTGATGCTATAAAATAGATAGAAGAACACATAGGTGAGACATTCTATGCCATAGAGTTTAGTGATCTCTTTGGATTCATCTCCAGTAACAAGGAAAAATGAAGGGTATATAAATTAGTGGGACTATATTAAACTAAAAGGCATCTATTTAAAAAGAAACTATTTAAAATAAAAGAAACTATTTAAAGAAACTATTTAAAATAAAAAGATAAACTATTGAGTGGAAGAAAATGTTTGCACACCATATATTTGACAAGAAGCTGATGTAAAAATCTGTAAAGAACTTGTAAAACTCAACCAAAAGAAGTCAAATAACCCCATGTAAAAATGGGTAAAAGAACTAAAGAGGCACTTCTATGAAGACACACAGGTGGGCAACAGACACTGAAAAACTGTTCATCATGACTTATTGTCAGGGAAATACAAGTTAATACCACAGTGAGGTATAATGTGAGAATAACCTCACCCCTGGGAGAATAGCCCATATTAAAAAGATCAAAACAAGAGCTGGCAAGGATTTAGAGAAAAAGGAACACAGTTCTTTCACAGTTGGTGAGAATGTAGGCTCCTAATAACACATTTCTCAAATGATACAAAAACACTAATTTGAAGGGAAACATCCTCATTTGTGTTCATTGCAGTACTGTTTACAACAGCCAAGCTTTCAAAACAACCTACATGTGATAAGTACAGATGAGTGAATGAAGATTTGATATCTATATGCATTGGAATTCTACTCAGTGATCACAAAAGATACACTCTTGCATTTACCAGAGGTATCTGGAGCTGGAGGGAATTATGCTAAGCAAGGGGGGAAAAAAAAAAAGACAAATACTGAATGGTGTCACTTTTATGTGAGGTTTAGAAGAAGCCAAACAAAAAGTCAGATAAAGCCAAACTAACAAATTGACTCTTGAGCACAGCAGACCTCTCCTCTCTCCAGCTGCTTCTCTTAGCAGTGTATGTCAATAAATCCACCCATTCTGTTCTCCCCTTTGTCCCTGGTGAGTTTTTTCACCCATGCGCCTTTGAAATACACCTTGATTCTTCCCAGCAACATTCTAGGTGCTCTCTTCTGTTCTGTTGTTATGTTTGTCTATTCCTATATCAATTCTAAGTTTCAATTACTGATTTATAATAAATCTTGAAGAAACAAAGAGAAAACTTCCTCTTGAACAAGCCTACTAGAAGAGGGTGGAGGGGAAAGGGATAAAAACAAGATGGTGGGAGGGGATACAGTAGACTATTTTAGCATACTGTGGGTGTGTTGACTGAGGGTACAATATGTTCACACCACTTGAGGGGGAAAAGTGCTATATTTCTAGTATCCCAATAGTGTTATAAACCACTGTTACCAATTCGTAACAATGTTACCAAAATAGAAAAATTGAAGGGGGGTAAACACCCCTACAGTACCTCAATATTTGGTTACAATCATACGGTGTATTTTAAATATTCAGTTTAATATATTTTTTATAAAATGTTTAGGGAAAAAAAAGTCTCTCTCACTTTAATCTCCTCATTTGTTAAGTTCCCTTATACCACCACAAAAAGCTCTATTATATTTCACTGACTTCAGTAGTGATATCAGCCACTGGACATGGTAGACTGGATATTCCTCCCTGTTACGATGTAATTAAGATGCTGTCCATAGCCACATCCTTGCAAAGGAACAGAGAGCATCCTTCCATTCATGAAACAATCCTTTTTGCTTCATTTTTCATTTGTAACTGCATGTCTCAGGATGTGAGGGGCTCCAGTGATAGAAAGCAATATCAATCATCAGTCATTTTGATGTTATTGATGATAGGAATTTTCTCATCTGTTTCAGTGCCCAGGAGGGCATGTAACATATCCTGTGGTTACAAGAGAGGGCATGTATCTTAAAGATTAGTAGTCTTTTTTTCAGGAAATTAACATTCCTTTACTGGGTTGTTTTAAACCTATATTCCTACTATCTGCATCTCAGCACCTATTTATCTTACAGTAATAAGGTGACTGGTGAACTTAGCATTGATTTGATATTATGGATATTAGGCTGTGCTCAAGATACTGATTTTAAACATGCCATTAAAAGTTGATAATAAAGAATTTATATTCAACTATCTAGAAAACAATAGAATTCTTTATCTGTAAGGTATTTGTCTCTGTTAAGAAGTGAAAATAACAATTGAGTTTATTATTAAGAAATCAAAAGAGAAAATGTTTGAATCTGTGTAGTACCCAAACAATGTTATAAACCAATGTTACCTAAATAATTTTTTTTTAAAAGCACAGTACCTGGCACACAAGGATATAAAAAAGATATGTTGGTTTACTTACCTATATTATAACTACTTTATTAAAAGACTGGCTCCTTGGTTTTTTACCTGTTGTTAATTAGCAACACAAGCTTGAAAGTAATTACAGCATCTTCACAAAGTGACTTTTTCCACAGGGTTATTGAACAGCTTGGTGGGAAGCAGCTGGTGATGAACCACATGCACCATGAAGACCAGCAAGTTCGCTACAATGCTCTTCTGGCTGTGCAGAAGCTCATGGTGCACAACTGGTATGTGTTGCTTTTGTCTCCTGCTCACACTTTCTGCAGGATCTCACTTGCCCATTCCAGTATCTCTTTATATAAATGCTCTGATGAATGGTAGTTTTATAAATCAGTGACCTACAAATATAGAAATATATTTTAGTAATAAGAGCAATGAAATATTATTTTCTTATTGTATTACTTTTATTGAGGTAAAATGATTAACATTGTACATAATTTTGGGGTGGCATCCTGTCCACCACCAACACATCCAAACATAACCCTCTATCATATTCTATTGGCATTCTTTCTGCCTTGATCCTCTTGCACCTTGCTCCTCTGGCAGCTTCAGTTATGTAGTCATATTTCTAGGGTTTGTTTTGGTTTAGTTTTATCTGTTCCTTTTGTTTTGTTTCTCTATATTCCACAAATGAGTAAAGTCATTCACTATTTGTCTTTTTCCTCATGACTTACTTTGCTTAGTGTAAATCCCCTCCAATTCCATTAATGTCGGAAATGGCAGGATTTCACTTTTTGATTGCTGAGTAGTATCCCACTCTGTGTGTACATACATGTACACATACATGTGTGCATCTATATACACATGTACATACATACACACTAGAACTTTATCCACTCATCTGTTATTGGGCACTTATGTTGTTTCCATAATTTGACTATTATAAATAGTACTGCAGTGTACACAGGAGTGCACATAGTGTTTTATTGTTTTGGCATCTTTGTGTAGATACCTAGCAGTGGGATTGTTGGAATGTGAGATAGATATAGTTAACAAGATTTTAGAAACCTTAGTACTCCTTTCTGTAAGCTGGACAAACCTGTATTCTCACTGCCAGTGTACAGTGATTCTCTTTTTTCCACACTCTTGCCAATACTGGTTGTTGCTGTTCTTATTGTTATGGGCCATTTGTACAGATGCTAGGTGGTTTTGATTTCCCTGATGAGAAATAATGATGAGCGTTTTTCACGAGTCGCCTGGCCATCTATATGAGTAACATGACAGTTTTAAAAGATCAGCTGCATTAATGTTTTGAAGAAACATGCATGCAAAGTACTACTATAAGAAACAACTGCAGAAGTAACTGAAAGAACCCTTCTGAAATGAGTTGAATCAGTCTTTTTGGACTTGAATGGAATATAGGTTGGACTATTAAATAGAGATGCTCTGGTTTTGCATGGTTCACTATTCAGCAGATGTTTAACCTGAATGTACTTCCCCAATTCATATGAAAACAGTAGAAGCTGACTTCTACTTTCATTCATGTAGCCTTTTGCTTTTAAAGCTTATAAGTTTTTTTTTTTTTTATAAAGGAAAGAATTAATAGTACTTTGAATGTATGTTTGAAAGATAAAAGACAGATAGGGTTAGGAAAATATCCTGGAGTGCTACTGTGGCATCATATATTGAATATTATGATCTTACCACTTAAACACTTTTTTCATGAATACTGACATATATTTATTTTTCCAGCAACTACTTTTTGAGTATTTTATATCCTTATGCTTAGTGTTGGATATAGATATAGTAGAAGTGAGTGCAACTTTAAAAGGATAGTAAGAGGAGATTTCTTTGAGGAGGCCACTTTGGCTAGGCTGATACAATAATGTTTAGGAGCTGACTTACAGCTCAATTATTGGAAGTTAGCTCTGCACATAGAAGGAATTAAAGGGGAAGACACAATGAGCAGTAGTGATCTGGTGCTGCTGTCCCTTAGTGACTGAAGGGCAGGGATTCCATTCTGTCTAAATGCCCAACACTACACACACACAGTCCCCCTCAACAAAGAACTGTGCTGCCCAGTATGTCAGTAGTGCCAGGGTTGAGACACTCTTAATTGGAAGGACAATGTGAGGGCTAGCATGGTAAAAGATTGATGAGGTGAGGTTGGCGGCGCTCCAGACTCGTAGTGTCTGGCAAGCTGTGATTTGATTCTTCCTTTTTTTTTTTTAAAGATTTATTTATTTGTGCATACAGAACTGGGGTACAGGCCAGAGGCTCAGGGTTGGCGAGAGGCTTCACCAAAGACAGAGTGGGGAGCGGAACAGGCAGATCGGTGAAATACACTGCTGAGGGGAGCAGCGGGCGGGTCAGGAAAGGTCTGCCACGTCATGTGGTCACCTCCTGGGCAGGCGGGAATCGAACTCATGCGGAAGTGGCTTAAGCTTCTTTGTGCTGTGCTTTAACCCACTGTGCCACCAGGGAGGGCCTGATTCTTACTTTTATAAGATGAATTGAAAGCCACTGTAAGATTTTTAGATAGGGGAATATCAAGATTTATGTTTAAAAAGATCACTTGGGTTACTCTATGAAGAATAGATTGTACTGGGATATTTGAGCCATATCATTTTAGTAGGTTCTCATGTAGTGTATAGCAGAGATGGTTGGTCACCTGGACTAACACCACACAGTTGAGACAACAAGATGGGCTTGGCACAGATTTCAGTGTAATGCTGGCAGCACTCGATGCACTAAAAATCATCATTTTTCTTTCTTCATATCTTCAGTGCAGAAAGAATGAGATCAACGTAGAAGCCAACTCAAAACGCTTTTTGTCTCTATAGCAGGAGGAAGAAACTTTACAAGTCTGTTAGTAAAATATAAAGTAGTCCCTTGAATTTCTTTCCTTGTTTCACTTTTCTAACATAAATGAACTGTTTACTAATTTTATATTTCTTAGTTTACATCTGTTCAGTGATATTAAAGAATGTTGGTATTTAAACAGAGCTCAAAGCTTTTGCAACCAGCAAGCCAGATGTTTTTCCAAAAGTTTCTATGAACAGCTTTATTTATCTTCTTGTTGAAATTAGACTTGCTAAAGAGTACTTTTATTTTATTAAAGTAAAAAGTTTAATTTTAGTAGTCTTTTCTTTTGAAGGATTTGTTGTGGGACTTTACTTTTCTTATGTGTATCTGAATGTGAAAATAAAGAAGGGTGTAAAATAGGTAGTTGATCTTTTGCTTTTGCTGGTGGAGAAAATTGTTTCGATTGAAGATTTTTATTGTTCAGATGATAATGCATTGAAGATAAAACATTCATTCTTTTTTTTCATGCTGACTCTAACCCTAAAATAAGACATTTAAGTCTGGATTTTTTCCTTGAGTTTAGAAATTTGATTTAATCTCATTGTTCATTTTTGATGTATGACTACAAAAGGAAAAGTATATGGTTTTATGACCAGAAACTGATAGACACTTTTTACCATTGACTAGCTGATGAGGAACTACCCTTTCAACCATCTCTCTATGTGCCAAACTATTTTAACTTTAATGTTTAATTATGTTGAAATCCCTTTAAATGGAGAAATTTAATATATTTTCCTACATTTTTAATGTAAAGAAATTTTCACATGAAGAAAGACTAGAATTCACATGTGACCTATATATTTTGTGATGAGATACATATTTCTATGACTACACCAGAAAACAAAAATGTCTTAATTAATAGCAATTTTTCAGTATAGTAATATGAGACCAAATAGAAAATGACTTGGAAAGTGAATCTTCAGCAAAGAGTGTCATCAGATGTAAAAGGATTTTGAATCATCTTTGTATAGATTTTCATTTCATTTTTGCATGTTATCTGTGATCATTGTGCTCTAGGTCACGCTTTCAGATTTCAAGCACACTTTGATTTTATGCCTTAGATAATTGTTTGGATTTTTGATATTGCATTATTCCTAAAGTTTCCGTTCATTACAATAGATCATAATTATGGTTCTAGTATAATTAACATTTAAATTTGAGGAGATGTATTATTTTAAAGTATTAGTTCAAAATTACATTTTTATTATAAATTGGACACTTATAGAATCATAGGACTGGGCTGTCTATCTTAATTTCTATTCTGTTTTAAGGAGTTGAGCACTAAATTTCTGATAATGTGAAGATAGATCTGGTTTATATATTGATAACATGGTGCATAGAGGTGTAAATCCTGTGAAAAGATTAATTCTTTTTCAAGATTTTATGATTGATGTCAAAATTATTTCCATGAATTGCAGGTTTCAAAGTGTAGCCATTGTTTCTCCTCTCACAGTTGTCTCTGTCAGTGTGGAGTACAGGATTACAAATAACCCTAACAGATATGGATCAGGAGCGGGAGTGAAGTGGGATGGAATAGAGTTGGGGGATAATTGACTAGCCTTGGTGCTCCCCCTTCTGCCTTACTCCTAACCAGCCCCCCATTCAGAGTTACTCTCACATTCCCTGTAAATGACCCTGGAACTCTTGCTGTGTCCCCTCCCCACACCCCTTAACCTTCCCAGTGTGTTTTCAGCAGTGCTGGGTTTATACTCATCAGTTTGTCAAAATATAAATGCAATGACAACCTACTCAAGAGAACTTTTATATATAACCTCAGTTTGTACTGTACAATTTAACATCATAAAATGTCATCATTTTTCTCCTACAGAATGATTTTAAAATGTAATCAGCCTCTAATTCAGGAGCAACAATATGTGCATATGGACAGCTCAGGACTTCAGGAAAGAAACACTGAATTTTGTAGGTAGAGGATATTATGTAGAATTTTCTATTTGTTTCTAGATTCTTTTCAACTTTTTTTTTCCAAGCAGAATAGTAAGTTATAAGAGTGTTACCCTTGTATAGCTCTTTTGTTTATAGATAAATGATACAGCAGAATTCACCAAACAAGGGTGTGGATGTTACTGCTTTCTTCACTGAATGTTTTAATTACTTAGGATATTTTCATTATTCTGTAATAACATAGGCATAAAGATAGTGATGAAAATAGTGACTTATGAACTGAATCAAAGAAAAAATCTTTGTGTTTTATCTTTTTAGCATTGATAATAATGTTACTAAATATTCAATGTGATTTTTAATTAACATAAAACATTTGTAGACTTAACATTTTCCATAATAATAACTTTGAAAAATTGTTCTCTCTTTGACTGCCTCCAGTTTTTCAGATTATTTTTACAACAATATTAGTGAAGGATCCTTTGAAAAAGTCTTTATTGTCATGTGTTTGGTATATTTCAAA